GAAAATTTTAGATTGAAAATCAACATCTCTCTCAATAGAACGCCCTTAGTCATATAATGTTGTGTAAACCGCAGATATATGGTTTTGCGTTTACCTGTTCAGTACTCAGTAATAACTCGTTCATATGAACTTCAGTAGAACAACAAAGCGACGCGTCTTACTTGTGCCACGTGTGACAGAGAGCGTTCAGTCTGCACACAATCCCATTAGTATCGTTTAATCCCTTTATCCGGGTTCCCAGTGAGTGCGTTAGTCACTTACCAAAGCTTAATTTGTAGGCATTGTAATTACCTTAGTGCTTAATTCAAATTAGTTTTGTATTCGGCTATTTTCCGAATGTTTAATGTTCGCGGTGTACACAATATCGGCCATGTTGCGTTTATGAAGCTAATAATGCCAATTAGAATTTGTGGTATGGACATGAAATCTATTTCGCGATTAGTTCGATTGTATTTATTAATTATTATAAATTGTTATAACAAATTAATATAATACATGCATACACACTAATTCCAATTCCTTACTTACCTGGATTCTATCTTAGTTAGAATTGGATAAAGCGGAGATAATAAAAATTAGTTCCAGCGGGATTCGAACTAAGTGCCACTAATCTAAGTATTCAAGTAGGTCATACCTACATTTGGGTCATCACATTGTATACGTTATTGGTTTTTTGAACCTGATTTGATTGAACCTGACATACGATGGGGAAGAAAGTTTCTTGAGTGACAGGCTTGTACCGGCGAGCGGAGTGTATGGCGATCCGACACTAAATGGAGTGACGACCTGGTAAGACAAGCAGGAAGTCGTATAGATGCAGTGACTCAGAATCACGTTTTGTCGCATGCCTTGGGAAGGTCTATGTTGAGCAGTGGACTTTTAAGGAGGAGGAGAGGAGGAGAGATGATGGCTTAGGCAGGTTTGGGTAAGGAAGCTCAAGTGACAATGAGTGGATCATATATCTCAATATCAGAACAACTGACGACGGAAGTAGAACGTACATAAAAGATAAAATATGTGCAGGTGGTTTTTAGGACTTCTTTTGGAGTAATATGAAAAATAAAAAATAAACTATTCGAAGAAATGTTAAGTCAACCAATACTCTTGGGGTAGCGTGGCCGACACTTTTCGCTCTAAAACCTCAGAAATTAGGGGAGGCCTATAACAGCTAATATACATTCTAATGCTAAAAAATTAGAACGCATAGTGACTGTAACACTATTCGTATTGATATTTTCAGTGAAAGTTATTAATAAAATCACTGATTTTTTTTATAAAATAAGGGTGACAAACAAGCACACAGGCCACCTGATGATAAGTGGATGCTGTGGCCCATAGACATCTACATTTATCCTCGATTATGAATCAAATGCAGATGCGTTGACATCCCCCCGAGGACTAAGATAGAATGTCTCGTTTCCAGTAAAAAGGGTCTCCGGATCTCAACACTCACCATACAAAACACAGCAGTATTAAGCTGCTATTTTACGCTGGTATTCTGTGAGAGCGTGGTCCCTCCCCGGTCGAGCCGACCCATTCCTGCTACAACCATAATATAGCTGGAGTGCGGCTCTACCACGTATAAAATTTTTATTATTATAAAATTTATTTAATAATATTAGTATTACATTAGACTATTACTTATTATACTTATATTTATTACTTTACATAATTATTAAACTATTATTAGTAGTTAATTTTTAGTCAGATACCTTGACCATGAAGCCATACAAGCCATGCAAAGAATAAAAAAGTAACGTAAAATTATATCGGGTCAGCGTGACCTGAGAAAGACCCACACGCTCTTTCAGAATACTGAGTAAAATAAGAGCATAGTGCTACTGCGTTTTGCGTGGTAAGTGTAGAGAACCGGAGACCCTTCTTACTAAAATTAAGAAATTTTCGTCAGGGTTGAAAACGCATTTATATTTTAGTTACATCGAGGATGTCTGAAAGTGTCTGTGAGGCAAAGCATTCACTTACCATCAGATAAATTGTGTGCTCGTTGCCTTACTTAACTTAAAAATGTTACGCACTATAAGTTGATCCTTAAAGAATTTGATACCGATTTCCCGAACGCGATGGATTAACATTACGCAATTTCATCTATTCCATAACATTTACTCTGATGCAATTTTCGTATCGCTGCAAACTTTGCTATGTAAGATAAGGCCTCTGAAAAATTCAATGCACTGTACAACGGACGAACGGAATTGCACAATACAAGTACAGGCGTATATTCACCGATTTCCGAGCGATATATTCTAGGCGTTTTAACAATTTAAACATGTAAAATTCGCAACTGCATGAGAAATTTTTGCGCATGAATTTTCAGTGTCGGGGAACGTGACGGCGGCTGCACCCGTACAGGCCCGGGTTATGAATATGTGGGAAATTTTATAAAAAAAAAAAACTGAACTGAATTAGTGCCAGAAATTAAGAAATTAAGTGACTGCGTGTAACATTGAAATAATGGGATTCTATTAAGCTCACGGGTTTATTTGCATGCTATTAAAAATTAAACTACCATTTTTAAAATTCATGTCTGTCTGCCTGACAGAAGTGATAACTGACGAAGAAAAGAAAAGGTAAGTAAAGGTAAGAAAAGTAAAGGAAAATTGAATAAAATAAATCGTCTTTGACTATCTTAAGTCTAACGCTACATTAATAGATCCTATCCGGGCGCAGCCGGGGCGGGTCGAAAACTGATTTTTGACAAGATCATCCCGGCATAATTTCCAGTTAATGCTGATTGTATAAAATCAATAAAGATGACAATTTCATTACCCTATTAGAAATAAGAGGATGTCTGTGTTGAACGCATAAAGGTTAGTTTAAGGGTGACAAACGAACAAATACTCCACTTGAGGTTATGATATACACATAGATATCTTGGTTAAGAATAGAAATGCAAATACGTTGTCGTCCCTGAAGAACTAAGATAGAAATTGTTTAATTTGTTTATTAGTTATTATCTGTATATTTTACTTGTAACACCAATTTAAGTTTACTGATTTTTGTATTGGCAACTTCCCTTCTGATTCCCCTATTCAAAGTGTAAATAACGCTCTCTAGTAAATAATTGTAACACAAAATTCCTAAATTAAATTTAAACTTGCATTTTATTATACAGAAATCATTCCTTTCGCGTATATAAAGTTAATCTAAGTTAATCATAGATTATTAAGCCAATAAGGGTGATATTTGACATAGCTACGATGCTTGGCATCTGCTGTTTTTTGTTTCTTTGGATTTCATTCATTTCTTTCCCCTTTAACGACCTCCGAGGGATGATATTTTCTTTGCATGGATTGCTTTGGATGACACTGGATTTTCTTATGTCATCAGTTTGCTCGCATTCTAACGTCAATCGTTTAGCATCTGATAACAAGGCTCAAATTTGTTTGTATGTATATTGTGTGCTGCCATACTGGTTATTAGACTGCGTTTAATTTGTCACCTTATAGGCATAGTACAATTAACTTACAGTAGGTGACGCCTGTATCGTACACACAAATTTATTTGAAAGTCATATTCAATGTACATATTATTAAACAATATAACCTTCGTAAATTTAAAACGATATTTCCATAATTATTTTCACTTCAGCAATATCGCGCCCCGTACCAGCAAGTATATAATAGATAATGTTTATACAAAGCTACAATAACAAAAAATAAATAAACAAAATTAATACTATTTTAGAGACAGAATGGATTTGCCCGTTGTCTTTGAACTGACAACTTTTTTGTAAAAAGAAATGCAGAGTTACTTGTAACATAAGTATCCGCTTTATTTTTCATCGTCGGACCCCGGGGACTTGGTTTGAAAGAAACGTCCTCCCGACCCGACCAAGGGGCATGGTTGTTTGAATATCCGATGACTTTGTGTACGTTAATTTATATTTTTATAATGGATTTGATGTCTGGTGCTGTTTTCGCCAGTAACTAGGGCGCGGAAATGTCAAATATACTAAGTACAGAGTTGACTTTGGAAAAGGGAATTATCGTTATTTTATTCATGCGTATTGCGGAATTGGAAGAATTGGAGTTACGTATAGGCCTGGTTATTATTATAATATTTATATTTCAAAGGTAAAAGAATCAGGCGTTACTTTGAAGAAATACTTATATAATATAAAAGGAAATTAATTAGCAAATATAAAAAAATTGGAACGAAAGGAGTGATAGATTCTAATACGACGACACATAGCAAAAATAAAATTGTCAATAAGCTTTGTTAACGGGTAATATATTTTCGGTACCAGATTATAAATAGATGTGACCTTATAAAGTTAATTTTATCCCATCCTAAATAATATTTTCCCTAACTTTAATATAATACAACTTTTTTTTAAATAAATTTAATTTTGAAGCACAAATTAATGCAATGTAATGGCCCCTGGGTATCGTGGAAAATGCCAGAAAGAACTAATGTTTTCCGCAGAAGACGCTACAATCATATCGTTTACACATAAGCATACAAACATACATAGGCGAAAGTGTTTGCACCACGGATCAAAGTCCACTGCTGAACATAGGCCTCCTCATTGATTACTTCATAAAAGAGATACTTGCCACAGTTGCCACAGTTGGAATGTGCGTTGGCAACCACAGTTGTTTTCTGGTTATTAGGAGAACGGCGCTCCCCGTCTCCTGATTTGTTCCCTCTATTGTCTTTTACGAAATCGAATAGGATAAATAAAATAAAATAAAATAACTAAAAATACCCACATAGTTAACGCACCTGGTACAATTCTAACGTCAGCGTAAGAGTCCATCACTTTCATTTCATTCCGTAGGTATCATCAGAGGTGTCTATAAGGAATGCTTTCCTCATATATTATATTTTCAATAAATGCAGCACCAGCGTCAGGGGCTCGACACGTCTGTTACTGTGATCGTGTAGAAAGGTAGATCGTGTCGCAATTTAGACAAATCCTTGATCCTAGGGCGGGCTGATGATGGAAAACAAGTGTAAGTATTAAGTGTAGTGTTTACCTGTGGATCGTCTTGCGAGAAAATGGCGTCAAAGGCAAACATTTTGGGTGCCGCGACGCCAACCTTTCTGTCTTCGGGCGCTGCTGCTGCGGCCGAAGCGGTCTCGCACAGCGTCACTTGTTTCTTACGTTTGTCCAGCGAGAAGGTTTGTGTGCCGCTCGTGAATGGACCTTCGCCCGATGCTCCAACGCGAAGCATCACCTTCACCTAGAACAAAGAAAGCACATATTTAAATTAATTGTTTTTTTTTTAATAGGAGAAGTGTGAAAAGCGAACACACAGTCCACCTGACGGTAGGTGGTTGCTGTGGCCCGTAGACAATTACATCTATCCTCGATTAAGAATCAAAACCCGTTGTCACCCCTGAGGACTAAGATGAAATGCCGCGTTTCCAGTAAAAGTTCCAGTATAGATATACAAGAGAAAAAGGAGAAAATATCCATAAAATTAATTTTCTAACATGAAATTATACTATTTTTATTTTAAGCCAGCACACCGTCCACTAAGACCTAGTTGTCCACAAACAGGTACATCTATCCTCAAGCAAGAATCAACATACTGCGTTGCCAGCCCTGAGGACTGAGATGGAAAGCCTTGTTACTGCTACACTCACCATATGAAACACAGTAGCATTAAGCTGCTATTTTACACTGGTATTCTATGAGAGTGTGGCCCGTCCTCGATCGAGACTTTTTGTTTTATTTTTTCTGTTTGTAGGTAGACCTAGTCTACATACGAACGGTGAGGTATTCCATTATGATCCTCCAAGTAGAGCTCATCTTGACTTGAAACTCTTTATACCTTCATAGGCTGCAGTAGCTAGAATTTGTCTCTTCAATTTTATAAAAAAGTCTAATGCATCTTAGAGAGATGAAATCCTAGTAGAGATGAAAACATTAAAAAAAGCCATATTTTGTTAGTTTATGTATAGTAGTAAATGTCTTCCTTGTTTCGGTATGACGATGAGAATGGATCAGACAACACTCAATATAGTCTTCGTTATGTTAGAAAGATCGCCTTAAATCCATTAAGTCTTCTAAACATGCAAACAAATATACTTTAATCCAACTCAAGCTCTCGAATAATCTTTTTTATTTGTGTTAAAATAATAAACAGCTACGTTCCCATTCACGGTCGCTCGCTGCGCACCAATGCAAACAATATTAAGGAAACCATTTAGTGATGTTCCCGTGCCACAAAAGGGTTTTATCGTATTGTTGAATCGTTGTACGGTTTTGTATAGAAAACGAGCGTGGATTCACTTTAAGGCCGTTGTTTGTGATGGTTCGTTAAGCAGAGATTTCGCGAATTTGATACAACTAGAGCTACAACTTCCCTATAGGGATATTGCGGGAATGTAGTTTTTATTTCTATTTTCGAAACTTTATAATACAATTTCCTTTTTATAGTAAAGTTAGAGACTTTAAAGTCCTACCTCTCATTTCTGGGTTATGACAATTAGTACACCGCGCTACTCCAATGCGTGATGGCGGACTTATGCACTTATGACTTATGTACTCGAAATGTTGACATGCAGGTTTCATCATGATGTTTTCCTTTAACCCCAAACTGAAACCGTCGAATGATGCCGGTGATTTTTTTACTAAGATTTTATTCCCGTCGCGCTCACTAAGCTACCGCGTAGTGCGAAAGTTTGATAATAGTTCATTCATTTGAGCTAAAAAATTTGCAAAATTAACGGAGTACTTTTATCTATCGGTATATGTACGTTATAGAACAAAGTTAAATTTTATCCACTCTCCCCACCCCTCAGTGAGCGTTACAGCCCGCGCCGTAGGAAGTGTTGAAGCGCGGTTTTTTATAGTTTTGAAGAAAACCATACACGACACTTGAAAAGAGGCCTCTTATACATTTTTATGATTTATTGATTTTTTCTTATTTAAAGTTTAGCTTAATCAAAAATTTCCACTTTACAAAGTTTAAAAAGTGAAATTCAAATAAACTCAAACTCTTTTATTTCACATTTCTATGCTATTTCGGAAATTTAATTCATTCGGCCATTCAGCGAAATCTATATATTTGTATTTTAGCTAAAAAATTAATGAAATGGAGAATATATATAATCTGAAAAATGTAATGTGTTGAATCATATTTTTCATGTTACTTATATGTATACCTACATATTACGATTTAATAATTGTGGAGTGAATGATAGTGCTCTATAACAAGCCTTTTAATGGGAAATCTTAACAGTGTCTTAGTATTTGATCTACATGTTACATCTGGAGAATGAACAAAAGTTAAACGATTTTTAGATATAGCGGAATAGTAGGATTATGTAGAATATTGAAGAGAAGACAGACGTTTCGAGTGTTCCGACGAAGGCGGATTGGGAACCATTTAAGCCGCTCGCGATAAACAGAGACGTGATCGAACTTCTTTAAGTTAAAAATGTATCGAATACATACATTTTGCAAGCGCTCAAGTTTATTAATGTGCTCCTCGGTAGCATCCAAATAACAGACATCAGCGATCAAGTTCCAATCTGAAATTGGCAAGATAAGAATCTGGACTATAGATATCTTAGTAGACAAGGGTAGAAAACTTTGAAGACGTTTTATAGAATGACTAGCTGTTCCCCGCGACTTCGTTCGCGTGAAATTTATTACGATTAGAAATTTTTGCGAATGACCGCAATTCTTTTTCTAAAATAAAAATAAAACTAAGTTACTCCTTATAACATCAGCTATCTGCCAGTAAAAGTCCTGACAAAGTTGGTTCAGCCATTTCGGAGATTAGCCGGAACAAACAAAAAAACAGACACAAACATTTTAAAAAATTGTTTTTTGTTTTACAATATTTTATACAGCTGTGCCCCGCGGTTTCACCCACGTATATCCGTGTCTGCGCTGCGCGACATGACACCTCGCTCATTTAGCTAGACCTCAATCATTTTAGCTAAAAAATTGGCAAAATTTATGTAAAAATAATCGGCATATGTACGTTATACAGCAAAGTTAAATTTTATCCACTCTCTCTCTCTCCCCCTCCCGGATGAACGCCCCAGAAAGTGCCCCAAAACGGGGTTTTCTTTCAGTTTTAAGGATAACTGTACATGGTACATGAAAAGTGTGCAGGTACGAAATGATCCTTGATGAATTTTCTATCAACCTTTTATGCATACGAAAGCGATATAATTTATAGTTTTTGCGCAATCTGCCAGAAAATGTGAACACTTCTTATCTTTAATCGATTTTTTTTTGCTTAAAGTTTAGGCTAAAAATTTTTTTAGGAGTAAACTAAAAAAAATTTTTTTTTGCTAAAAATTTTTTAAGTTTATAAAAACTTTACTGCCAAAATATGTATGACTAAAGTTACTCTTTCATTATGATAAAACTATTTATTTGAATAAGAATTAATACTACGGTACGACTATAACCAACTTTTGTGTCGACCGGTGATCTAATTAAATTTTAGAACACAAAAGCTACTATTGTGACTTAGTTATGATAGTTAGATATATTCCTTACGCGGACTTTTTTGTAGGTAATAACGAGTACTTTAATCATGTAGCACATAATTTTTATGTTACATAATAGTTTCCGCAGCGTATGCGATAATAAGGATTTTTCGGCGTTACTATTGCATAATTTAACATGAAAAAGTAGTTATTTTGACATAACTGCAATAGTTAGGCATATAGTATCGCGGACTTTTTTGTAGATATTGATATCTTCTATAAAAATGTAGTACGTCACTTTGCTCTATTGTCAATAGTTTCCGCAGCGTATGCGATATAAGGATTTTTATGTTTTTTTTTCACGCCGTTGGTTACATTAACGAAGTTTTCATACGGATCCCTAATTTTTTGAATATATACTATAGCCTATGTTCATCAGGGATAATGTAGGATTCCAATGGTGAAAGAATTTTTCAAATCGGTCCAGTAGTTTTGGAGCCTATTCAATTCAAACAAACAAATCTTTCCTCTTTATAATATTGGTGTAGAAAAGCGTGAAACTTATTTTTATTCCATAAAAAACGTTATTTGAAGTGCAGTTTTAATTTTTTAAGACTAATTTTTTTGACTCTTTTAAAAAAACTAAGTACCTACCTAATATCACAAGCTCGAATGTTATTCAAATGGTTACAGTTTTTCAGGTTACATTAATATCGCGTCACATACAATAAAACATACAGTCTAACGAAACTCCTTTATTTTAACTTATTCAAAAAATCATCTAGAAACGAGCCTATTCATCATCATCATCATTACAGCCCTTCACAAGTCCACTGCTGAACATAGGCCTCCCCCAAGTAATGCCACAAAGCACGGTCCTGAGCCACCTGCATCCATCGACTTCCTGCATGTCTTACCAGGTCGTCACTCCATCTAGTGGGGGGTCGCCCTACACTACGCCTACCGGTACGAGGCTGCCACTCGAGAACCTTTCTTCCCCATCGGTTATCGGTTCTTCGAGCTATATGCCCGGCCCATTGCCACTTCAGCTTACTAATACGTTGGGCTATGTCGGTCACTCTGGTTTTACTGCGGATATCCTCATTTCTGAGTCTATCACGCAGAGAAACTCCAAGCATAGCCCTCTCTATAGCTCGCTGAGCGACCTTAAGCGTCCTCATACGGCCAGCAGTGAAGGACCGCGTCTCAGATCCGTAAGTCATCACTGGCAACACGCACTGGTTGTACAATCTAGTTTTTAGAGATTGAGGTATACCTGACGAAAAGATATGTCGTAATTTCCCGAACGCTGCCCAGCCGAGTTGAATCCGTCGATTGACCTCTCGGTCGAAGTTGGACTTACCTAGTCGGACTATTTGTCCCAGGTAAACGTACTCGTCAACAACTTCGAGGATAGTGCTCCCAACAACTACCGGCATAGGTGTGACATGGACATTAAACATGATCTTTGTTTTGTCCATGTTCATCTTAAGACCTATCCGTTGGGAGGCACTATTGAGGTCATTGAGCATAATGCTTAAGTCCTCCAGCGATTCTGCCATAATGACTATATCGTCGGCAAATCGAAGGTGAGTGATGTACTCGCCATTGATGTTAATACCGTATCCTTTCCAGTCCAGTAGCTTGAAAACGTCTTCCAACGCAGCGGTGAAGAGTTTCGGGGATATAACATCACCCTGTCTTACACCTCTCTGCAGTTGGATAGGTTTCGAACTCTGGTTCTGTACTCGGATAGCCATCGTAGCCCTACTGTACA